TTAAAATGCAGAATATTAGTGAAGCAATATTTGATAATTTATTTTGCTAATATGTTTCTTATTTAGCTAATGTTTTGATTTTTTCACCATGTACAATCTAAATAGCTAATATACTTTTTTAAAAGCCAATAAGAACATTGGTAGAATTCTTCTACATAAGTACAATACTATGTCTTTGATGATAAAATACTATGTCTTTGATGATAATATACTATGTCTTTGTGCTAGAACATTGTGTTCATTGGCGAGCGAGCGCAGCGAGCCATTGTTCACGGCGTGAACTACATAGGATTGCGTAGCAATTCTCGGGGGTTGGCGAGCGTTAGCGAGCAGGGGGCGGAGCCTCCTAGTTTAATAGTAATGTTCTTTACGGATTGATCACGAATATTGATTGCTACTGATTAATTATAGTATCGCAATCTCAATTTTTTTTTCGGATTTATTTTAAAAACTGATCATTTGAACCGTTATAAAAATCACGTAATTTTTTTGTGCATAATAAGGATATTTATATTCTCATAAAGTTTACATTTATCTGTAAATTGTATAAAATAAGTTTATAAAACTCAATTTCGAATCTGTTAAGCCTAGTTCTAATTCATATTGTTTTTTTCTCGTTGCTCTGACTGCATGTTTGATAAGCAAACTAATGTTATTTGAAGAAATTTGGTATGCATGTTTATACTATATTAAATAGTATTGCCTTATATTGCAGTCTGAAAAATAATTTTACTGACTCTTATGAGCATCATATCTTTCTGTAATTATTAAGGCCCGGATTTTGATGACATTTGCATTTTTTTGCATTTTTGGACATTTTTTGTCTTTTAGAGCATTTTTTTAGATTTATAGGGCATTTTTCTTTAAAGTTTTGGGGCGTATTTTGCATTCTAATGTATTTTTTAAAGTTTTTTGTTAATTTTTTTCCAATTTTTACTATTTTTTATCTATTTTCATTATTACACTGGCTTCCAAACAATGAAGAAAATCTATAAAATATTAACAGGTGAAGCAAAGTCTTTTCAAATTGAAGAAGAATTGTCAGTAAGTGAGACCGTCTTTTTCAAGTACGCACCTATAGCATCAGTAGACATTGAAAGAAGCTTCTGCAGGAATGAAAATTTACTTTCAGACAAGAGACGCTCGTTTACATTTCAAATTATCAAAAAACATTTAATAATCCAATGTAATTCTGATATTTAGTAATATTATGAGATGGAAGTTGTTATATCCATTAAAGTTTCTATACAAAATAAAAATATTTTGGTGTCAATATATTTTCCTTTTTTTGTTATTTTAAGATATAAAACATATTTTTCAAACTTTAATAAACGTAGAACAAGTATTGCATTGCTTTATATTTTTTAAATGCTCAAAATAATTTTAAAGACCAAAATATTTTTTTAATTCAATATTTTTACTTTATTTAAGGCATTCTTTGCGCAATTTTTGCATTTTTAAGGGCATTTTTGGCCCTCTTTAAGGGCATTTTTTTCGCTTTTTAAGGACATTAGTTGAGATTTTTTAGGTCATCAAAATCCGGGCTCTAGTAATTATAAATAGTGTTGCTGAACAACGAACATGGTGGCAGCTACTTTACATCAAGTAATATAAAAGAACATATTTGGTATGGTGAAATACCTAGATCCGAGTGTTGTGCATGGTGTTTCACTTCACCACTTTAGTATAAAATAGTTGCTGCCATTTTTAGAGCTGATTTTTTTTTAAAGAATAGTATTACATCTGTCACATTGCTGGTAGGTATAACAAAAGTATAGTACCTGATATATGAGCAGAGGTAGGAAGACTGGGCAGGCTAGACTTATGATTTCTACTAGGACTAATGCTGGCTCTCTTGTACCCTGCGGCAGAAGCTCGGCAGTCCAGAGGGGCAGAACAAAATATGAAATTGAAACACTTAACTTTGTACACGTGAACAGCGATATAGAATTAGTCTTACCTGAAAAGTAAATTGAATACTTTTATAAGATTTTGACACGTGGTACGAGATGTAATAAAGATTGTTTCATACAGTCACTTCGAGAAAAAAGATGTTACCATTTAAATTTTTAGGAAATTCTTTAAACTGATAATTTTTAATGATAATGGAAAATAATTTTTAAAGCTACTATCTTCATTCCCGATTCTCAAACGTTATGCTCGCCAAAACACTAAACGAAATCGATTAAATAGTGCTCTGAAAATCTAATTTTTTAAAAAAAAAAAATTCGTCTTTTTATTTCCTTATTTAATTTTTTAGAAAGAAAAAAAAGATAATGACCTTGGAGGCATTCAAGTGGAACTCTGAATTTTTCTATTTAAAATTGCGCTCTTAAAAATAATGTAAATATTAATGTAACTTGCAATTCAATTTTTTTTTACTATTCAACAACATAATAAGTAATAAACTTCATAATAAATATTTTCTATTTGCTGAAGGAGAAGGCGACGCATGCAAAAAGTAAAATTGATATTAAGGGACACAAACTTTTGAGACCAAACTATTGGGACCATATATTTCAAATTGGACCCCATTGGTTCAAATGCCCCCTACCCCCAATATTTTATTTATTTATAACCGTCGTTGAACAGCTGGCTCGATTTTGGGCTTACAATGACTAATGTTTTACTTCGCAGCCTTGTAATTTTAAACCCAATCCATAAGACAATCTATCGAAGAAAATGTAGAATTATTCAGAAACAAATTTCTGTGTATGATTTCCTAACTTAAAATATCGTCTGCATTAATAATAAACATACAAGGGGTGATCAAATGAAAAGGTACGAAACGACGTAAAAACGTAACAGTTAAATATTTGCATATTCCGCTATGGGAGAACGTAGCGAGACNTGTGTATGATTTCCTAACTTAAAATATCGTATGCATTAATAATAAACATATATGACATTAGGCTCTCAAACCATTAAGATGAAATCTGAGCACTTGAAAATCCGATCATTAAACCAAAAGTTATGCTGCTTCGTTTATTTTTTTCCGCTTCGTACAGAAGGTATTACATCGCTAGCAGTAAGTAAAGTATTAATCGCGAGTCTCAAACCTAATTATCTTTTCAAACTTATTAAATAAAATTTATTTTACAGTACTGAGGTACTTTCCACACTAATGTTCGACTTACTTCGTCTTCTTGTTGCCATAGTGATGCAAAGTACCCCTCCTAAGGCACATGAAACGCAATAGCAGCACCTACGACTGACAAATTTTAAGATGATTGAGGCACAGAACCAACCAGCTATCTCGGTTAGGGCAGAAGTGAGAAGATTAGAGTGAACATCACCCTGCAGCTCAATACATAGATAATTCAGTCCCAAAAAGGATGCTGTACTCGTCAACCTAAAAGGAAACGATAAACTAATAAAGCCGAAAACGTATATGGGGAGAACAGCTATCGACAATGATACGCTACAGTACTCCCCCACCAGAATTATAGCTGTGATAGAATTCGATAAACAGGATAGTTGATTCATCGCTCTTTTGTGAGAAGCCGGGAGAGCTGTATTGAGATCATCATACTTTCAAATGCTGATCGGGAGAGATGTATTAAGTTGACGGTCGTGGTCACTCCTGTGTTGCCTTTAGCAGTCGAGTGTATACGTTGTGTGTGATCGAGACGTGAGGAGGTGGATAACGTCGCAGTCACAAGTAGCATGTCAACTGTTCAATGTGGACTATTATTTGAAGTAGACGTGTTCAGAAATAAGTGACAGTCAGACAAACGTGTTCTCATCATGTCCGGGTCACCAATGCGAGGAGAATAATATTTTTTGTAGTGATAGATAGACTACACCGATTTTAAAAGTATTTATTTTAATAGCATAGAATTAATCTTTATTGTTCTGAAAAGATTTTTTTTCATTATTAAATACTGATATCGTTATTGATTCAAATATTTTTTCTAACTTACTGATATCGATATTAACGATAATTTTTTTTCTTCCAAATATGAATAATATCAATTTTTTTCTTCGGATATTTTACTTGCACATCAAAAAAGTAAAAATTATTATAATATATTAAATTTACCAGCTAAACATTATGACAATTATTCGTTTACGGTAGCCTTGTGCTCGAAAAAGATCCTTCGTCGCCTCCGCTTGAGTCTTGGGTTCATTTTTGTGTTCTTGCAAACTTTTTTCTAAAACAAACTTCCTCTGAAAAACAAAACAAATCTTTCTTATTAAGAAATAGTAATAATTAAAGCAGAGAAAGAAGTATTTAAAGTAGATAATAGTTTTAATTATAGCTAAATTGCATTTAAATGAAGCTAATTAGCCGAAAAATGGAGGATTAATGAGGGATTTCTTTTTTAAAATTTTGAGTAAATTCTCTCTAGAGAGAAAGTAATCCTTATGAAAGCATGATAAATAGTACTAAAAAAAATCAGCATTTTGCAGAAATAATTATGTTTATTAGAAATAATAGTTATGTAAAAGAAATACAAATGCGTTCTTCAGAGATTATAATTATCAGGTTTTATTATTTTTATAATTACGCATTTCTAATGGTTAATGATCATATTTTTTGGGCTATGTTTTCAACGTTTTGTTATTTAAAAACATTTAAGAACTAATTATAAGGAGAATAATTGATGAATATTGAAGATTTATGTCTAAGAATATTTATTTTTGCTTCATTCTTTTTTGGGGCAATTACTTAAATATATATTTGAGGCATTTTTTTAACATATTAAATGAAAAAAAAATTATATTTAATCATCTTTATCTTTTGCGTAACATTTTAAAAACTACTAAAAATAAAGTTGCTGAAATATTTTCCGAAGTGAAGTTTTAATCCCTTAAGTTAAAGATATTTGTGTTAATTAGTACTAAATGAAGTTAAAAAGATTTGTCGCTATAAAATTATATATGTTTTTTTAATTAAATAGTTCTTTGTTCTTTCATTATTCCTTGTTAAGCGTCGTTTTAAATTTTCTGCAAAAAGAAATGTTCATGAAGTTTATATAAAAGTTTTTTTAAAAAAACTTCTGCATGTTTTGAACAATTAATAAATTGTTTTGACTATTCCTTGATGTCTGTTTTAGGTAAAAAAAAAAGGACTTTGAAGGAATAAGTTATTTTCAAGGGATTAAGCGTTAGCCTTCAAATAAGGTGATTTGGGTTCGAATCCATGCGGTGGCTCGTTAATACAAAGTTTTGCTCCCGGTTAGCATCGACAAGAGTGCTGACATAATTATTCTCAATGGTGAAAAAATGGGTTATACGAATACCCCTGTGGTTAGGCTAACTGTGGGAGGTTTTCATGGTTTTCCATCAAAAAAACCTCCACGAGGACTATTTTATAATTTTACTACCGTCGTTGAACTGCCGACTCAATTTTATGAGTTTACGGCTACCAATGTTCAAAGCCGTAGCTTGTAATTTTGAAACCAATCCAGAAGACAAGGGAACTGCAGGATTAAGTATTAGAGGATACTTTGGCTTCGTAGAGGATTTTTTGAGGGAACTAACCAGAAGACTTTGATGGAACTCTTTATATGTAGAGGAAAACCACGAAGTCCTCCCATGGTTAGCCTGACGGCAAGGGGACTCTAACCCATGATCCTTCTACCACTGCTGATATTTTACGTTGGAACTATGTTCGGTGCGAGCCGGATGTGGAATTCGAATCGATCAGCCATCTCTGGGATTCGAACCCAGATCACTTCATTGAAAGGTGAGTGCTCTATCCCCTGAGCCACCACGGCTCGAGTATGTGATTTAGGGATTTTCTTGTCTTCTGGATTAGGCTCAAAATTTTAAGGCTATGGAGTTTGAACAGACATAATCATATTCAAAATTTGATCGGAAATTAAAAGTCTTATTTAATCTTTAGACTGTGCCCTCGCTTCTATAATTATTATGAAAATAGGAAACGATGATAGATAGTCAAGATGATAAAAAAAACAAGCTGAATTTTTGGTGAAATCTTGGAGCGTTTTTATAGATTTTTTATTTTTAATATTTAAAGAGTTATTCAGAACCATATATTACATAAATGTAAAATATTTATTATATCAGGTATTATACTATAATAATTAGACCGAATTATTAGACTCACTGTAGTGTTTTAATAATTGCATGTTTTGCGCAAGTTTATATGCAATACTTTTATACTTAAACATACATGTCATGGGTTGTTATTCAGGAGATCTTTTATTATTTTTAATGTATTGCATTAAAATGTTAAGCAATTGATACATGAGCGTAAGCAAGTACAAACCGGTCTCAGCCGTGTAAAACCAATAATGCTGTATAGTATCACCTGATAATTAAGATTGGACTACAAATCTTACAGTGCGTCTAATAGTTTGGCCAGAGACTGGAAGTGTGCTTGAAACATTCATGATTACTTAAAACGAAAAAATAAGATCGGAAACATAGCATTATACTTTGGAAACATTTATGTATGAATGATATATGCGTTACCTTCGTTGCTACTATGAAGTCTGGTGTGACATTCTTCCTGTTGATGCGGGCTATCGTCCTTATCAGCCTTATCGTTTCTTCAAACCTGCCTCTTGCCAACAGCCATTGTGGAGACTCTGGAAGTACCCTGACAAACTGTTGGATTATTGCGCTACGCTTCAGCAAAAATACACACAGCAAACAAAATGGAAATTAAGCACTTCAATTAAAATAAAATAAAGGAACCGTATCACTTTATATCCGTCATTGAACAGCCAATCCAATTTTGGGTTTACGACAACTAATATTCAACTCCGTAGAATTTTGAACCCAATCCAGAAGACAAGGAAACTCCTGGATCAGTACCCCAGAGGTTTCGATTTGTTATGGAAACATGGATGACTTTGCCACTCGACCGACTTAACGTGCATCAATCACCATTTACTACATGGAGAGTCTTCGGCTGACTGGGATCGAACCCACAAACTCTTGGACATAGGCCCAGTGCCCTGCCAACTGGGCTATCTCAACCCAACTTAACACTTTTGTATGTTTTGTACTTAGTACGTCTGCGTTCTCCTTACGTATATTCTCAGAGTATGCGAGCCTGTGGAAGTGCTTTTTTCCTTCTGCCGGTCCTGAACGGGTTACAGATGTGTCCAGAATCAAGATAATTAAACGATCTTAAATCATGGCCCAGTACCCTACCTACCAGACTATCCCGGCCTTAACCGTATAACTTTTTTATTTTATATCCGTCGTTTTTGGGTTTACGACTACTAATGTTCAACTCCGTAGCCTTGTAATTTTGAACCCAATTCAGAAGACAAGGGTATTACCTGGATCGAGTATTGGGAGAAATTTGCCTTCGTGGAGGACTTTTTGATGGAACTAACACGCATTTGCGTTACATGGAGAGTAAATCCTTGAAAACCTCCCACGGCTAGTCGGAGATCAAGAGGGCAGTAACCTATGAGCCTTCTACCACTGAGGATATCTCATATCGCACTGTGGTCTATGCGAGCCGGGTACCGAAATCGTATCGATCAGCCACAGCCAGGATTTGAACCTTGATCACCTCATTACGATACAAGCGCTGCTTCTCCTATTGCTAAGATATTTTTTTTTATCTAACCGTCGTTGAAAAGCCGACCCAATGCTTTAGGTTTACGACTACTAATGTTCAACTCCGTAACCTTGTAATTTTGAACCCGATCCAGAAGACAAGGGTATTACCTGGATCGAGTATTGGGAGAAATTTGCCTTCGTGGCAGGCTTTTGATGGAACTAACATTTGCTTTACATGGAGAGGAAGACCACAAGAACCTCGATCGATTAGCCTAACGGCAAGGGGACTCTAACACATGATCCGTCTACCACTGAGGATATTTCACGTCAGCACTGTGGTCGGTGCAAGCCGGATGCAGAATTCGTATCGATCAGCCATCGCCGGGATTAAACCCCGGTTCACCTCATTGGAAGGCGAACACTCTCCTCCGAGCCAACGGGGCTCTAACCGTATCATTTGACAAAAAGGACGTTCATCAGGTAAAATGAAGTACTAAGTTAAACATATAACTAGACAGGAAGAAAGATATTAACGCAAAATAAAGCCCAAAGTTTAATGACTCACAAAAAATGCATTTGAGGTAAATCTATAGCTTAAAAATGTAGAGTTTTGTATTGGTATGTGTGCGTCTCACTTATAACTCCAGAACAGTTTGATCGATTATCTTGAAATTTAGACAGTGGTTGCAAGGCGCAAATGTATCCCCGATAATAAATTATATTTGTAATTTTAAATTAGTTCGTTCGGTAGAGAGTATGAAAAAATTGATTTTTTTTATTGGCTTAGAGCTCGTCATTCATAAAAAATGAAACTTAATGCAAATTTCTTTTTTTAAATATTTTAAGGATTAACAGCAGTGATATTTGTAGGCTTATAGTTCTCATTAAAAAGATTGTTCATTATCGTTATTAGAAATATATTTTCTTTTAAAAAATGTCATATCTAATTCATTAGAATTTTATTTCAAACCATTTCACAGGGGCAACCAAAAGATTATATAAATTATGTATTATATAATGGATCTAAGTACACTGGTGGACAAAATTAAGAGATGGAAAACATTTTCGCACATTCATTCGCACATGCAAGATACCCGCACACCGCTCCATGTGTTTGACAATGGTTCTGTGAATGCCCAGAGGTACAGGCAGGAGGTCCGAGAGCCCTATGCGCGTCTTTTCAGTGGCGCTGTTGGCCCTGAGTTCATTTTTATGGACGACAATGCGCGACCACATAGGGCTCTCATGGTTGATGAGTATCTGGAGAGAGAGGATATTCAACGAATGGATTGGCCAGCCGAATCCCCTGACCTGAATCCTATTGAACATGCTTGGGATGCTCTTGGGAGAGCTATTGCGATGCGCCAACCTCCCCCCAGAACCATTCTGGAGTTAAAAATTGCTCTGGTGGAAGAATGGGAGGGTAATAACTCCTTTATTAACAGCATGCATACTCGTTGTGCATGCTGTCTGTCTGTCAGGGGTGACCATACACCATAGTAGAGGCAACACGCACTGTACAAGCCTCACTTTTATTGTTATCTTTTATCCTTAAGTTCAGACTACATTGGATTTATTGGCAATAGGTCTTGCCAGTGAATGGCACTTTCATTTTTGTTTTTCATACTTTATTATCATGGAATAAGCTATATCCATACCAAATTTCATTTATTTATATTTAGTATTTTTTGAGATATTTGGGAAAATGTCTTCCATCTCATAATTTTGTCCACCAGTGTATAAGCGGAGTTCAAAACTCATTACTAGTTATAAAAAGTACTAATTCGTTAAATCCGTTTAACAGTACTTTACGCGCACAATCAAATGGGTCACGTCTTGATCGTTCGCACAAAGGTTCGATATACGAGCAAGAGTCGTTTAGGTTCAGACGATAGAGCGCTTGCCCTCCAATGAGGTGACTCTGGTTCTGGACTGACTATGATCGGCCGATACGAATTCTGACTTTGCTGACGCAAAATATCCTTAGTGGTAGACTGTTCATAGATTAAAGCATCTTTGCCGTCAGGCTATCCGTGGGAGGTTTTCGGGGTTTTCCTTCTCCATGTGACGATAATACGGGTTAGTTCCCTCAAAAAGTCCTCCACGAAGGCAAATTTCTCCCATTGCTTGACTCAGGAGCTACCTTGTCTCCTGTATTGGGATTTTAAACAATACGGAGGGGAACATTAGTAGAAGTTAAATTGGAATAGAGTCGGCAGTTGAACGACAGTTTTAAAATGCTTCAACAAGTGTCTGACATATGAAAATAGATTGTCACATAGTTGATATAGTGGACATACTCGTTGATATTGTGACTGTTAGAAAGATTTTCTTTGGATCATCAAAATGCATCATTAGGAAAGATCGAGACAAGTCATCAAGAAAGGGGCTATAGCTTATACTGCCGAATATATACCAATAAAAGCTGTGTTAATGTAGTTCGTGATCTATCCCGTTATTGTCTTTGGCCCATCAAAAAAGATGAATCCTATATTGGAATCATTATCTTATCAGTTTATCTTTAGCTTGACATGAACAGTAAAATCTATTTAAAGAAAACCCTCCTTAAATTTTATTATTTGTTTATAAAATGGAACAACTAAAAGATAGTGGAAGAGTTTTTTTTTTTAAATCGCTATTCTATATACGGAGATTAGAAAAGAAAAATATGTTTTATTTTAAAACAAAGCCACAAAAAAAAAATACTTGACTATTTTTTGAGGTCAAATAAAAAGTAAGGGACATGATTTTTATTCTCCTAAGCTTTCCGTTTTTATGAATATCTTGTAAGGAAACAAAATCCCTCGGAACGACAATTCTTTCAACTTAATCCCTGGGATTCAAGAAAATTGCCGTTTACTAAGTCCAATATTTCCCTAAATGTCTTTCTCGTGAGGGAAAAAAAATTAAGACGCATCTATTCAAATAGCAAACTTTGCAAGGAAAACGATTGACTTCGTTGTAGAAAATGGCAATTTTATCGTTTCTGCCGACGACAAGATTTTAGATAGTGCCCAGAAGGTTTAATGGAACGCGATATCTCGGTGTAATCGATTTTTGCATTAAACACTATTTGACTTGTAACCGCAAAGTACACGTCATTAGCTTTTCCCGGCAAAACTGCATTATCCATGCCTTGTGGTGTTTTTTAAATGGATAGCGGGGTGAAAAAGCTAAGCTTATTCAAGACAAAATTACGAAGTTTCTTTGTTTTTTACTTTTTTTTCTTCTCCCTGTTATCTTTACTTTTCTTTGATGCTTCGTAAAGAAATGCAACATCATTTGTTTTAGAAAGTTTTTACTTCAACCGGCGGTTGAATAAATACGCGAAGGTTGAAAGTGCCTAACAGCAATGTTTTTCTTGTTAGACAGAGGTTTGAATAAAGTGGATTTTTTTTTAGAAATACAGCTACTTTGACTTCTGAAAGAAAATTTCGGTATTAAAACGTTACGTAGTTTAATTCATAAAAACGAATACGAGTTTAATGACGCTAGTGAAAAGAGGATTTTATAGATAATCTGTTTTTAATTAAATTTATTTATAAATTTTAATAACAGAATGTTTACAAACTTAGTAGAATACTTACAACAAAAAAAATTAATTTAGTCACTGATTAATTTAATCACTTTAAAACTTAATTAATTTACTATTTTATAATAAATAAACGCATTTTATATATTTTTTAAATATTTTAATGGCATTTTAGATCATAAATATTTTCTACATTACCTTAGAGATGTCATTTTTCATACAAGTAACATTTTAAAATTTCTGGAATTTACCAGAAATTCATTAAATTTCTGGAAAATTTATATTTCAATTTATATTTAATAGATAGATTTCTATCACACATAAACTGTGATGAAAGTAATTTGTTTTAGCGAAAAACTTTAAAGTACATAACACCCACATATATACTTTGGAGTATGAAACTAAATCTTAAAAGTAAATAGCTGTTTCAATAAATGAGATATTTGAAACGTTTAAAAACTCGCAAATTATAATTTTTATCCTATCCCCATAATAAGTTACTATTGCTACTGTTATTCTTTTAATTTAATAACATTAATTATTATTAA